CTTTCAAAGTATAATTGCCGCTGTTCGCGATCCCGTGTGCTCTGAAGGCTGCATCATACTTAATAAACAAATTCACATCGTTCACCCAAGAGATTAATGACAGCCCTGGATTACTGACGTGCCCTCGTGACCTCTCGTAGAAGAAAGTAAATTATACATTTATTTATTTATACATACGTAAATTCGGTCATTCAGTACAATTATTCTAGCGTTTGAAAATAAATGCAATTGGCGTGAGTAGATACTAATGGGCCCATTCTTCTGAAAAAGGTCTCACGAGAACAGCTCTCAATTGCCTGCTTTGGCAGTTTCACACCCGGTGCAGCAAAACTAAAATATTTGCAGCAATTCTGCAATCGTATTTCGCCATAATATTTGTATAAGTAACAGTAGTACAGCTGGACAAATGACTGAAAACTGAAAGCTTTTTTAGCGTGACAAAACAAATCCTTTAATTCATTCAACCAGTTCAACTGTAAACTGGTTATATATTAAATCATATGCGGCTATTTAACGAGTTCGGTTGCGTGCATTGGTACATATGATTAGCGCCACTTCGTAACGTTTCGAGCAATAAAAAATTACAACACAGTCATCTCCATCCGCATCACATCGACTCCTAGGGTACGTGAAATTTGACAATTTTTTTCTTAACGCTCTGGCGTTCAAATTACCACTATCTGTTCTCGCCAGTTCCTTATAAAACTCTCAATCACTTGGGGCGTATTCGCCCGTGCATAGTATACGGGTATATGTGCCACAAGTGTGTCTGGCGGAAAAGGTTTTGATGACATTTGGTTTTTTTATTGGCGCAAAGGCCACACTTGGCCAAAAAGCGCCAGGAAGAAATACATTAAAATAGCAATGATGTGAGGTTTGCCGGGACACGTAGGAGATGCAAACTATGAGGATGTTACGTTGCTGTATAGAGGCATATACTCCACATAAGGCGCCTAAAGCGTGTCAGTATTTAAAAAAATCACGAGCGTGACATGCAATGCTTTTAACACAGATCAATTTCAGTGCTAGTTGAATTTTTAATGAGGCATATGGGTCTGGCGGAAAGGTTGTGGCAACGTACGCGACGGAATTTGGACATCATGCATGTCATGATCAGCGAGCGATGTTCGTCAAACCATCCTATACCTTCCCATGCTAAATTTTGTTTACCCCAAGTTAACGGAGTGAGGACGAGAGCCCCGATAAGTAGGTGGCTAAATAGATATATAGATGGATAACCAGATATGAAGATGCTAAAAGTGGCCGCAGTACGTACAATTTTTGCATTTACAAATAGGGGGTCTCTGGCGGCACTGGGAGTCGAACTCGGTCCCTCCAATGCAGGAAGCGAAGGCTCTACCCGCTCGGCTACTATGCACTGCGGTTTGGGTAGTAGTAGCCGAGGAAACATCCACAGGAAACTTGACAAGGAGGTGGGCGAAAGGAAATGTAGATCAATAGGAGGGATTGATTGATTGATATGTGGGGTTTAACGTCCCATAACCACTATATGATTATGAGAGACGCCGTAGTGGAGGGCTCCGGAAATTTAGACCACCTGGGGTTCTTTAACGTGCACCCAAATCTGAGCACACGGGCCTACAACATTTCCGCCTCCATCGGAAATGCAGCCGCCGCAGCCGGGATTCGAACCCGCGCCCTGCGGGTCAGCAGCCGAGTACCTTAGCCACTAGACCACCGCGGCGGGGCATCAATAGGAGGGGGAGGGCTGACACTTAACCTGCCCCCCTCTCCTGTCTAGATCCGCCAGTGTTACAGCATATTTCAGACAATAATTGAGCAATACAAGGGGGGCAACGAAATGAATTTTATTGCACAATATTGTGCCTAGCAGAAGAGGCCCTTTAAACCTCGCCACTTTTTAAAAAAGAATGCCAATTAATCATTAAGCCTGGCTCTGCTAGATCAGTCCTAATGGCTTCGCCTACTTTTTCTTCCGATCCTTGGATATCTTGCCCGTCCTAGTGCGCCTCCCATGCACAGACGACGACCGGCTGCTCGGGGCCATCCGTGCCTTCCCGTGCCTTCCTCCGTGCCTCGAGGATGAGCGACTACGGGTGTGGCGTCGCTTGTTGCCACGCTTCGAGCGCCGGCTCATGGTCGAAGAAGACGTAATGGACCGGAGATGGCGGTGGCTTCTGGTGCGCCTCTTCCCTGGGTGGCTTGCTTGCGACGACGCAGAAGAGCTTCTACGTGTTCGGGCTTTGCGAGTGGGTCCAACATGGCGACTGCGCAATGAGTTCCTTGACGAACCCCGGCTCACCTTCTTGGATCGGCGATGCTTTGGCCCCTCGCTTGCCGTGTCATTTGGGTTTTCCAAGGAGGAGCTTCGGGAGCGCTTTGTACGGCTGATTCTCGGGGCTTTAGCTGCCACTTCCTTGCTGGACGAAGGGTTTTCTCCCTCGGGCTGCGTCACCTCCGTGGCCTTGCGCAACTTCCGAGCTGGCGTAGGTACAATGGGCGTCGGGGCGAGTTGCCCCTCCGACGAGGTCTTTGGTGGTCGGCCGCGTGGACGCTTGGTAGCTACAGCCTCGTTGGAAGGACCAGCCGCATTCTGGTCACCGGCAGTCTGACGCTTCCCTCGCCCAGCCTTTGTCGGAACGCCGTTGGCCTCCGCCTCTTCCTGCACCATGGCGTCGTCGCTCCGGGACTCGTTCTCGCCTCAGTCGTCGAACGTGAAGAGCCCGCCGTGCTCTTCAGCCTTGGAGCTTGCCGGCAAGCGGGCGCCAGGAGACGACGGCTTTGGCGGAACTGCGGCGAGAGCGCGGAGCGTGCAGCCAGCTGGTCTGAGCCCCTGCCACTAATTGAGTCCCCGTTCGGTTCTCGAGCACCGCGTTCAAATATTTCATCTTTCTTCTTTGCTTGTTCCCATATGTCCTGGTTTATACCCATTGTGGCGGATTGGCCGAAAAATCGGCACGTATTTTAATGAGTGAAAATGAATTTTTGAATTTTGATCAAGAAAAAAAATACTATTCTCGTGGAAATCTTCATAGCATGTGCCCTTACTAAAGAGAAACCGGAGTCGAATCCTGTTGAATTGTCAATCAAATATTGCGTTCCGTTGAACCACAGCGCCGTGGACAATTTGAATAAAAGCCTAGACAAATCTGCTTAAGAAAGTTACTGGTATTTATTTATGAACTGTATTTAGTGCTGTTAGCTGAGTTGAACATTGAGACAATTATTCCAGGGCATTTTGTAATCCTGGAGCGCAAATATATTGTAGTAACAATAAGCGCTACACCACTACAGTGGGCTAGGAAGAAAGGAGAAAGGCAAAAAAGACAGGACGAAATTAAGCATGGGGAGAAAGAGAGAAAATAATAAATGTTTATTTCGAAGCAATGTTCCGAGCGATGGCCGGTATAACTTTAAGGTGGGAGGTCTGGCTTGTAACGCCCGGCTGGTTGAGAGGGGAAGGAGGAAATTCGCGCATGCGTAGTGTGAGGGTTGACTGTGGACGCGTGACCTACCCGCCAGCAAGAGAGGCTCAGCATCTAAAAAAGAGGAAGGGTGTTATACGGAACAAACCTACTGTCGGGTACAACTTAAGAAGGCAGGAGAGGCCCCGCCCTGATGACCGAAGCGCAGCAGCCAATTTGCTCCGCGACAAAAGAAATAGTACCGCTCAAAATATTGTTACTGCTTCTAAAGCGTGAATTTGTCGGTATAAATAAGATTTTTTTGTGTGTCGTGACGAGTGCTTTAGGAAGGCTGTAATGATGAAACTGCTAGAGCACATGCCGGATCACAAGAGAAAAATAACTCCGTACCTCCTACAACGCTGTGTGTCGTCTACTACGGAGCAAGATCGACAGCACCGGGCGTCTAATTGTAAAGCAGTCACTGGTTTCATAGCATAAGTTTAGTTCTTTGTGTATGTTTGCACAAGCTTTTCTTTTCCATGTGTCAGGCTTTTTTTTTTTTTTGGTTGCTTGCTAACCTGATATCTCGTGAGTTCACGCACGTTGGCACATGGCATTTCGTGCCAGATTTATTCAAGTATACGAGTTGCGAAACTGCGTTCTTAAATTCGGACCGATTGCGAGTTCTGCGTAGCTGTGGTGAGTAAAAAAACATTTTACATCGTGCTGCATACAAAGTTGAACCCTATGCATACTAATAGTAGCTCCCACATCAGTCCACTAAGCAGAGTATTGATACACAACACCGAACCACTTTAATGAAGGCCCTGCAATTTTTTACAAACTGTTCGACACTCTCCGTTTTGTTGGCCATGGCGAAATAGGCTTTCTTCCTCATGATACTTGCAGTCAATAAATAATTTTGTGAATTGAGCAAATCAGTTCTCTTACAAAAAGTGTAGCAAATAAATAATTGAGCACTGTAGCTGATACTTACTTCTTCTATAACTAACAACATTGACTAGAATATATTGTACCATGTCTGCTCTACTTCAGAGAAGTACCCCCAATTCATCATACTGCCCATTTATTGAGCTGCTTTTTACGGCCAACTGAAATAAAAATTTCGAGGTGACTGCACTTCATTTTAAGGTGGTGAAATTTCGATGTAGTAACCTAGAGTGATTTTTTGTGACGTTACTGTACTACTCAGCTTTAACTGCATTATAAATGCCATTTTCTGACTTGAACATTCGAGAAAACGGAAGCACGTCAAATTCATACATGAACACTTTGATACAATAACACTTCACTACTTGGTACCACAAGTTGGACAGAACTTACGAGTTTTATAGTGCCTACACTTACTCTTTGCTTTCACAAAAGGGCATAACCTTCAAGGAAGGCCACATTTTCCTTTTTTTTGGGAGCAATATTTTTTGCCTTTATAATACTTAACCAAACACAGAATGTCCATAATCTTAATTTGTGACTGAAGGGCAGCTTTGTGGCAAGTTGTACTTGTGAACTAACTGCTGTTGCTCATGCAAAAACACTCACATGCATCAAGTTCGTTATACAAATGGAGAAACAGCCCTAGCTATAACTTACCAAAAAACTCATAGAGAGCAAAAAGCGAGGCAACATATATGCTCAAGCTAAGAATTTCAGCAGCAATCATTAACCAGTGCCAAGTGCGTACTGTCAAAGCAACCATCAGCAGCTCCGTCAGAATCAAGGAGGTAAAACTGATGGAAACAATGTGGATAAACTTGTCTTCAAACAGCAACAGTGCTCCATACATAATAATTCCACCTGAAAAAAAAAATATAGTCTGGTCAATGAAGTCCCAATTAACAATGAAAAAAAATCTGATAGACTATTCAGCCAGAGTAAAGAGTGCAGAGGTTACCTTGATAAATGCTAATCAACACCCACATGAAGAATGTCTTGAAAGACAGAGATCGCCCCTACAAAAAGAGTGGCATAGCTTCTAAAAAATTATTCTACAATTGATCTTAGCTAAATAAAATGAAATATAAACTACATAAAAAATTTCAGTCTACAAAGCATAAAATCACCTTTGCAAGTTCCTTGTAAAGCTCAGGGTAAGTGAGGGCTAATTTGGGTTGCACATCTTGGTCCAAAACAAGTGAAAAAACAGAAAACATAGTGTACACTGTGACATACCTGAAATATAGAGAAGCACTAATGACATTGAAGCCAAGCATCTGAAGAAATCTCAGCTTGTAGGTAATAAATAATTGGAACACGCACCGACCAAATATGAATACAGTCTCCACCCCTTAGAACGAATCCGGCAACAACCGCCTTCTGGTTAAAACGAAACGCATCCGTAAGTTTGTTTCGTCACCACTCATCACTTTGAATGTCATTCACTCCACACGCAATGGACCATGCTGTAGTAGACTAACGGCTGGAAGACTAAATTTATGGCGAAAATTGTTTGGGCAGAGCGTATATAGTGGACCTATGGGGCGCCTAAACCTGATAATGTTTTTTTTTTTTTTTCACTTAGCTGGGAAACAACTAGTATGTCTGGCAACATTGTCGGCATCGAACGGGTTTTCGGCGCGGTCGAGCCGAGCCAATTAGTGACATTTACAACGGCTCGCTGCTGCGTTCATTTTTTACTTGTGTTTGTGCCACCAGCGACTATCTACATGGCTCGGCTGCGTGCTTGAGTGAAAGGCCTAGACGCAAGAGGAAGCAGATTTCACTGGCAAAAAACAGGCGGACATCGCCAGAAGAGTGGGTCTGTCTAAGCAGAGACTCAACTTCATCCTGAAGAACAAGGACGTCACCGAAAACTGTGACACCAGCGAGATACAAGTCTCACCACGTAGCCACATCAAGTCTGCCCTTTTGATGTGGCTACGAGATGCGTGTGCTCGAAAATTCCAGTTAACGGACTTTTGCTCAGGAGCAGAGCTGCACAAGTCGCTTTGATTTTGGAGCATAGCGAAGTCATATTTAGCGAGGGCTGGCTCACCCAGTTTAAGGCACGGCAGGGTGTTGTGTTCAGTGCAATGTGTGGAAAGCGGGACAGCATCAATGAGAGCATTGTCTCGGAATGGCAGACAAATCTGCTGCCTGCTCTTTTCACGAAATATGAGGAGTGAAACATCTTCAATGCGGATGAGAGTGGACTTGTGTTTCAAGCCACGCCGAGCAAGTTGTACACATTATCCGGCGAAAGTGTCCCAGTGGAAAGTGCTCAAAAGGCGCTTATCTGTTCTTTTTTGCTGTAGAATAGACAGCTCAGAAAAGCTGAGGCTTCTGCTGATCGGGAAGTTAAAGCGCCCTTGTGGCTCACGTCACATGCAAAGCCTCTCGGTCAACTGGGAGGCTAATAAAAGCATGAATAATGAAAGATTTGTTCAACGCTTGGCTGCTCAAGTTTGACAGAATGATATCAAAAGAGAAAAGGAAAGTTCTTTTTCTTAGACAACTTTTCATTTCACATTCAACCCCCATCACTTGAGGAAACAGAGCTGGCGTACTTTCTGCCTGATGCGACGTCGGCACAGCAATCAATCGACCAAGGTGTGGTCCATTCCGTTAAGGTTGCATTCTGGACCCGCCTTACAGAGTGCATGCTTTTTGACATGCAGAAAAAGTGAGAATCGAAAATTCCTGTCAAGTTTCCTGTGGAAGTTTTTCCAGCAGTTTGGACACAGCTAAAAAGCAATTAATACACAAGTTCTTCAAGAAGGCTGGCTTTTGCAGAGTGAATGAAGCACCCAACACTGCATCACAAGATGCACGTCTGCCAAGTGTGTGGCCCTAAAAGCAAGGAGCTTTCGGAGCCGCAGACTTCGTCAGTTTTGATGATGACATTGTCGACAGGGAAGAAATGACGGACGAAGAGACTGCAGCACTCGTGAACAACACTTCTGAACCACTATCAGAAGACGACAGTGATGAGGAGGCTGGAGCTCCTGTTCAGCTTCCTTCGTCCGAGGGCATGAATTACACTGAGGCCTTGAGAGAATAGATTCTGCAGCAGGAAGGTGACTGCTCTGCGGAAGTTCTGCAGCTCACCAAAATGCGACACAAACTGACCATGGCTTTTCTGGCAGGAGACAAGCAGGCCCTCATCACTCAATACTTTGTAAAATAAAGTCACGTTCAGTGAAATTTATTTCCTTGCATGCACCTCTCACGTACGATGAAAAAAGGTAGGAACTGCCTCAAGCAGGGCGACGGTACCGAACCCTTGTGTACTAACTGCCGCTGCCATGCAGTGACAAACTGGTTTCTTTGATCCCATTCCCGTAATTCATCAGATTATTTTAAATGCAAAACATTTCTTAGCGAACTTCGGCGACTTTGAGTGTATCTATCTATCTGTCTGTCTAGCCGCTCACGTTTGGCTACTCTCGTGGTCACCCCCTTAACTTAGCATGAACCAAAAGTAGCATGAGAGGGTAAGATAGTTTTACGAATATGAAGCACTGGCCAAGACATGAATAATGTCACAATACCGTAGATGGTCAAGCATTTTCCGCCAGACAGTGGCAAATACCCACGGGTGGGTGTTTGCCACTGGTATGCGGGTATGTGCCACAGGTGATGACAGTTAGTATCTACCCAGGAACGACGAGAATACACATGGGAATTTTAACAAGTGAGCATTTAAAAATACCCGACATCGGTACCAATTCCAGGGCCCCAGCTGGAACCGAACCCAAGCATTCTGCGTGGCAATGAAGCATTTTACCACAGAGCTACGCCAGGTCTCAGAACTACTTTTCAAATCGACGCTAAACTTCGTGAAACGTCAGTATTGGTTGCAATGCTCCCTACCCGATTTTATAAACATTAGATATGTACTCCTTTGATACGGCCATCACGTTGTGTTAACGTCTATAGGGCTCAGTTTCTATGCGCTGAAGTTGATTTATGTAGCAGTGTCCAGGGCCAGCATCTTCACGAGCATCAGCGCTTCATATCAACTTCTGGTGTTCCTAATACGCATGCTGCAGTTGGTATCGTTATGCAAGTGCAAACAATTGGTTATAAAAACATATGCAATATATGTCTGTGCGTGCAACATTTGTACATATATTTAGCGTCATTTCATGACATGTCCCTCAATAAAAAAAATTGCAACGTGGTCACCTTCCCTCCGCAAGCTTCCCATAACGTCGATTTTCAGGTATGGGGGATCTACCGGATTTTAAAAATCAGCTGTTCTACCGGCAGGAGACAAAAATAAAAAAAGTACGTCTCGGTAACATTTTGATGTGCTATTGACAATACGATTGCCCCCCCCCCCCCCTCGTTGGACACTGCAAATTCCAGATACAGCGGACATTGATTGGTATCTGTGGTTTAACGTCCCAAAACCACCATATGGTTATGAGAGACGCCGTAGTGGAGGGCTCCGGAAATTTCGACCACCTGGGGTTCTTTGATGTGCACCTAAATCTGAGCACACGGGCCTACAACATTTCCGCCTCTATCAGAAATGCAGCCGCCGCAGCCGGGATTTGATCCCGCGACCTGCGGGTAGCAGCCGAGTACCTTAGCCACTAGACCACCGCGGCGGGGCATGCTTTGCAATACGACCAAAAGCTTCTGTGGGCACACACTGACTTTTTGTGGGCACACTGGCATTCCTGCAATGGCTGTTCCTGCAATGACCAGTGAGCGGGTAAGACCTATTGCTGTGAAAGAGAATGGGAGTGCGAATACAGTATAGTTACTGATTGGACCCACATGGTAAGACATTTCAAGGGAGGCAGTGCTAAAAAATAGGATGAAGAAACAATGCTCTGACAGAGTGTTATGTAGTGGTCTTGATTTTCTTTAAAGAACTACTCACGGCCTTATTTATGTTTAACTTTTACACATTTATGATAAGGTTGTTTGATTATCAAGAAATAAATCATAAATGTACTCATATAAATAATAATTAAATCTAGACTAGTCAATTATAAGATCACATGCACTCAAACTTTGGAGACGTTAGGAGAGTGCTCTTTTAATTACAGCTCCACATGTGAAAAGAAAGAAATTGCATGGCATCATAAAGGGCTGCACCCCAAACATTTTACCACATTTAAACCTTTCATCTTGAATGAGCGATGGATGTGTCATGAATACACTTCACCCAACCTTCTTATATGCCTCGCTGTTAGCGAGACATTCCTAGGCCTCAGGCATCACTTGTTTGGGTATCTACGGAGCCCACATATTGACATGAGCGTTGCCTTGGAGCAGGTTGACTTGGTGGTGACTCAGCTGAAAGAGCTGGGAATTAACGCAGAGGCGGAATTCTACAAAATATTTGCTCTATGTCAAGATAGAGCAGCGGAGTTCAGAGTAAAGTGCGAGATTCCGTGGGAGGAAGGAACAGAGAGATACTGGGCAAACCGTGATCGTAGTTCTGCGGAAGAGTACTACAGGCAAGCCTTGTTCATTCCATACATAGATGACCTAAAAGGTTTGCTCAAACGGTGCTTTGTAAACCATTGCAAAACACTGCAAAGTTTGCACTTTTTATTGCCGAACCTTGTCTCTAAAGGCAAACTTGTATCCGTGCAACCGGCCTTCGATTTTTACTCGAGAGATATGACAACAGCACATATCCTTACATTAAAAGGTGGATGGGAAATCTGGAAGACTAAATGCCAAGCCACGCAAGAGAACGATTTCCCCGCTTTGCGATGAACGCTTTGCATGAATGCGACAAGGACCTCTTCCCGAACATTCACATACTCCTAAAAATATTGGCAACGCTCCCAGTGAGTACCGCTGCTGCGGAACGCAGCTTTTAGACAATGAAAAAAGCAAAAACGTATTTGAGTAACCAGATGATTGAGGAGGGGCTTGATGGTCTGGCCCTAATGTCGGTTCTTTGAATACAAGTCAGTGTTGACGAGATTATTGCTGTGTTTATGGAGAAACCGTGACGCACGAAACTTGTAGCATGAACTGTTCCCTTCGGTTCAGCTACATTTTCATTTTAAAAAAAATTTCGATTCTCTTTTCTTATATGGTAGAACCATTTGCGATGCCATTCCTTAATATTGCTTGCTAAAAAGAATGATAACTTTCCGCCGCTTTTGTGTTAGAGAAGCATCCGTGTTTTAGTTTTTTGCTGTCCAATAAAACTGCTTTCCGAAATACGTGTTCT